CACCGCGCTCAGCCAGTGAGCGGGAACCAGTCTCCACATGGGATCCAAACCCTCGGCGGGAGCACCACCGCACTCCCAAGCGGCGCACTCTCCGGTGCGCCACCGGGCCGGCCCTGGATTTACAGCACTTCTGATCTTAGTTTGACTGTCCTTTCCAGTGTGCCCTCTCTTGACAGCAGGTACACTAAGGTTGAATTCATATGCTTAGGTGTAAGACCAACTCTGTTTTCAGACCTTCCTCTTCATACTCCCTCTTCTGAAGGAAAAATTCTTCTTCCTGCCCACCAGAAAGGCAGGCAAGTGTTAGGCATGAGTATTGGGGAGAGGCGGCCTGGGAGACAGCAGACAAAATGTACATGTCCTCATCACACGGCTTCAAGGAGCTTGAGGCTAAACCCTCATCTCTACCCATTCTCTGCCATCTGGATCATCCCATACACAACACCAGTGCGCTCCAGCTGAAACACTTCCTAGAACCCTAAGATATTAAACGTAGTTATACTTACAGGATTCTTCCAACTTTCCTCCCCTTCCCAAATTGGCAGAGAAGTCATTTTCATCATTCATGAAGTAAGGGAATTCCCTTTCCCATATTTCCCTTTCTGTTCAGCCTGGGCCAAATTCAATTCAAATAGCACAACCCAGGAAATGACTCCCATTTAGTAACCTTTGAGATCATTGAGTGGGAGATTCCTCCAGGACTCTGCTGCAAGCCAGAATATTGAGAGAAGCAGCATCACTGTTAAAAAGCATGATCTAATACTCTGACTCTTTCTTTGAGTGCTCTGGCATGTTGTCAACCCTCATTTCACCATTCATCATCTGGCTGAACCTTGGGAACCTTCCACTCTTCACATTTGCAAGTCTCCACTGCTCAGGGCAGGGAGGATTTAAGACTGCAAGCACAAACCTCCTTCTAGGGCCCCATCCTGATCCCAGTGACATTAACCCAGTATGAATGGAGGTGTAGGCAGTCCTGATGCTTTTGAGCCTCCAGGTTGATCAGCTTCTCCCTCCTTCAGGGTAAGACATCTGGAAGTGACAAGTTGTTATCCCCTTGCCTCCCCTGGAAAGAATTACCAAGAAGGAACTCTGTCATGCAGGCAGGCATGCACACAGCTGCCCTGTGCTTGCATTTTGCCTCAGTCTCTTCAGTTTGTTTATCATAAACCCTCCCACTTTGGAAAATTCCAGCTTAGCTTTGACTCTTGCCTAATTCCACTGCTCTGCACTCAGCTGTGTGAGAACCAGACTGGGGGAGAAAAGTCATTATTCAACAGGTGCCTACTCAAGCTGCTGAGAGCTTTTAATTGGTTTTGTGGGTTTAAAGGCCATCTGGAGGTAAGTGTACCTCCTAACTTGAATCACTCAATGTACCTGTGAGGTGCCAGGCACTTCTCGCTGCAGCCCTCCCTCCCCCAAAAAATACACTGTCTAGTTGTTGAAGTGGTGAGAAAATGCTCACAAATTTGCTTAGAAGAGAATTAACTACAATTTACATTATTTCAGCTCTACCAGGATAATTCAGTTTTGAGGAACAAAGACACTTTTGTTCCCATATATTCAAGGACACCTGCCTAAGTCCCCCTATCTCTTACCAGGTAATTTTTCACAAATTTCTTTGGTTGTCTAGTCCAACATTCAGTCTTTAAAGGAGCCACTCTTTTTCTTACATATATTCTTGATGACATGCTTTCTATGGGGACTTCATTTTAGGCTGTTTCAAAAGGTTATCTACTCAATTTAACATTTTATTCTCATTCTTAATACAAACAAATGAGATTTTTATTTAGTGAAATAGTAGTTACATAAAGACACCCCACTTTCTCCTCTCCCCATACAAGAATGAATTTGGATAATTTAAATTCATGGAATTAAGGATTTATAAGCATATTCACTGAGCACATGCTTTTATTCTTTGCATAGATAGTCATATTTATAGAAATCTGGGTGGTGGTGCTTAAGACTTGAGATGCCCATGGTGCCCTTTTGGCTTTAAGGAACACAGTGAAGTACAGGCATCATAGGAGAAAGCACCTGGCTCTGGAGTCAGACTTAACAGTTTTACTAATTGTGTCATTGAGCATCACCTGAAATATCAGTATATTATGCACCCAACACACGGTTATGGTAAGGATTAAATAGAATGTAAAGGGGCTAGCCAGTTGGCTCAGTTGGTCAGAGCACAGTCTTGTAACACCAAAGTCATGAGTTTGGATCCAGTACTGAGCCAGTCATCAAAAATAATAATAATAATAAATAAAGCTTTAAGCACAAAGTAGAATAGTTATACTTAGAGTTTTTCATCTCTCTCCCTCCCAGTTGCTTCATGCTAGGAAGTTCCTTTTACTGACCACATCCCAGAGCACCCCTATTCAGGAGGTATTCCTAAACCCCTCCCCCGACAAAACAAGTTTATATAACAGCATAAAAACACTTAATCATGAAGCCTCACTAGAAAGGAAATAATCCCCTGGCTGTAATCTCAGTAAGTATCAAAGTGATTCCAGATGAGTTCACAATCCCCCGGTGACTATGGGGAAGCTCCAGTGGTTAGAATGACATCACAAGGTTCTCACATACCAAATACATATCAAACACTAATAAAAGTCTCACAATTTAAGAACAAAAAGCAGAAGAAAAGAATTTTAAAAACAAAAAGTGTGGAAATTATAATAGTTTTATCTTCATTACCTACAATGTCACCTAACAAGTATATTTCATAAAATTAAATGTTTAGAATATCCATGTCTGAAACGTGTGTTAGAATAAATATTTTTAAGGCAGAGTATGTTAAAAGGGCAGGGAGACACCGGTAATGTTTTAAACATATCATTGCTTTTTAAAAGTTTTTATTTTTGTATTACCTGGGAGATGATAGCCACAGCTCTGGGGTCTGGCTGCCTGGGTTCCAATCCCAGCTCTGGCAGTTACCAGCTGCTTTAAGAGATGATTAGATTGTAGGACTGTGCAGTAGTGAATGGATTAAAAATGGTGGTCATGGGCAGGGTGGAGGGCTTTAAAAGGGGAGCAGGAAGAGTCTGCCTCTCTCTGCTCCACCATTTTCTCAATGTGATACCCTGCATCACTAAGTCACCCCCAAAAGCCTTACCAGATGTGTTCCCTGGACTTCAGACATCCCAGCTTCAGAAAATATAAGCAACAAATTTTGTTTTCTTTCTAAATTACCCAGTTCCAGGTATTTTGTTATATGCAACAGAAACAGCCTAATATAGATCCTATCCTCATGGAGTTTATATTCTAGTTGGAAGAGAGAGACACAATAACATAAATATGGTAATAAGTGCCATGGAGCAAAATAAGGTAGGGCACAGAAGATAGGGAGTGCTGGATGTTAGGAGGGATGAAGGATTTTGTAAATACAGGTTGGTCAATGGAGCCTTGGAGGTGTGAAAGAAAAGTCAAGGATGACCTCAAAATTTTTGACTTGAGAAATTGGAAGAATGAAATTCCCATTTACCCAGGAGGGAAGAATGAAATTCAGGTGGGAAGATTGTAGGATGAGGAGGGTTGGGGGCTGAGGTGGGAGGTGTCAGTTTAGTTTTAGAGATGCTGAGTTTGAGATGCCTAGTAGACATCCAAGTAGAAGCATTAAAAAGGCAGTTGGAAACAAAATCTGCAGTTCAGCATAGTGTGGCTAGAGATACAAATGTGGGAGTCA